ATGTTAGGATGCCGAAGATGGCTCTGTATTTCAACTTCACGGCGTAGCTGATGCTCAACCTGAGACTGTTTCAGTTGGCTCTTAAACAGCACCTTCAGCGCCACAATCTGATTACTCTGTTAGAAGGAAAAAAAAATACAACAAAATATTTTTTTAAAAAAAACCCACCTGGAATTGATTCTATTTTCCTTAAATTGGTAAACATAATTGATACTGGTTCATTTTAAATCTTTGTTTCGTATAACTAAATTACTAATAATTATCTTGAGCTATCGATAGAAGTTAAATATTTAAGTCTTCATTTCATATAAATTAATTATACTACTAGATACCATCTTCAGCTTCCGGAGGATGATACAAGAGCCACTAGTGCCTCATGGATCAGATATTAGAGGAATCGTTGGCCAAAATTAAACTTGGCGCTACATTGGGGATTTTAGATAAAACTTGAGAGACATGGATTTAAACGATGTGTTTTGTATAATATGAACATCCCTGTAAATCATTCTATTTTCTTTGAATTTAATCGAGATCAATAAATCTTCAATCTCCTTAAATCAGCTCTCACACCCTATAAAGCTTCGAATGAGACCTCATATTCAAAACACAGAAATGCTCTTTTGAAGAATAGAAAATTTACACAACTCAAATAAGGAGTGGAAAACACAGACCCTCTTTTCCCTTGCGAGATAAACGTGTCCAAACTTTCCTCTACCGAGAGGCTTGCCTATATCGAAGTCATTGAGATTCCACCTCTTCTTCTCTGCTGTTGTGCTTTCTGAAGATGTCTACAAAAAAAGTCATAAAGATAACAAAGAAGATTGGAAACGGTACCAAAAGTCAGTATTTTCCTAGTACAAGCATAGGAAGACACACTAAATTTCAGTATTTTTTTTTTTCTGTTTCTCTAACACGTGGAAAAATAATAAAACTATTATGAAACAATAATTATTCTCAGAAGAAAATGTCTGTCCAAAACCCTATCATGGAATTTGGATCTTGAGAAGTACAACAGGTATTTGTCACAAATTTGAATTGCTTGCCTTCAGTTTGGGCACAACCGCACAAATTTCTCGCTGATAAGGCATACTTCTATCTAGCCCAAAATTCGATTTCTTGGATTAACATTATTATACCACACAACTAACATCTAAATTCAAATCCCTATCCCTCAAAACTTGAGTCCAATTATGAAATTAGATAGGGCATTATCTAAACTTTACCTTGAATTTTTTTTTTTATAAAAAAAAACATTATAAAGAAATGGAACGAAAGGAAAAAGAAAAACACATACTTTAAAAAAAATCCCTAAAAATATAAATGAGATACCACATTCAAGACGAAATAACAAAACAATACAAAATCCCGTAATTCTTCATTTATTATAATCAAATTTATCCAAAACGCAAGCAATTACTTTTTTTTACCTTGTGTTCTTGTTGAGTCTCCGTTGCTATCGCCATTGAAAAGATTAAAAAAACACTCACACTCACAATTATTACGTGTGTATCGGTAGATCTATAGAGAGAGAGGGGGTGAATGGGGCATACATACAAACTATGATTTGATTTTTATATAAAGAATAGAGAGAGAATTTTTTGTTGCCTTCTGCACATCTTCAACGGTCATATTTGATCTTTCAAATTCCACACCGGTGTTGGAGCGTATATAGGGGAGGCCCACAAACTCCTCGGCTCGGGTGACAAATTTCCTAATTTTCTAATTTTTCTATAAAAAAAAAA